TTGTCTATAATTGTTAATTATAGACCAGAAACTGCTAAAAACCTGGATGGATTGCTTGGAAAGGTATAAAACTACTTGTTCCTTTTACTATTATTAATGATTTATTAGTTTTTTAACAGATGATTTAGTGTGATGTGCAGTTGTACATAGTCATGTACATGTCTGAAGTATTTACTTTAATTTTGCTTTTTGACTTTTTGACAGGCAACTTACCTTCAGTCCAAAAATAACTTTAGTGGTGCCTTGGATGCAATCAATCAGGTARTTAACCGCAAGGACTTAAAACTGTTGGCCCTGTCTGTCTTCACTATAATATAACCCTGTATAAGGCGGACGTAAAAGATCCACTGAAGACGCTGGTGACGACCATCTTCAGTGCTCGTGCTAAAACTCTACAGGGCCCACTGTAATTGGCATAAAAGCTGTTGTGGTGTCCCTGCCCTCATGGGGAAAAGCTAATCAATTAAATTAATTAAGGAATATACTATRTATACTCAAAAGGCAAGTAGAGAAACACTTGACGAAGCCTCATGTTCCTAATCTTGCTTGGTGTGAATTTCCCCTCCCCCTCCCCCGGTAAAAAATTAATACTTCTTAGCATTGGCCCAATGATTGACCAACAATTGGCCATCAATGGCTCAAAAGTTCAAAAATGTGAACAGTTAGTTGATTGACACCTGTCGGCTAGTCATTTGATAAAGAGTGAAATTACCCTTTGATTTAAAGTCTTTTTGTTCTTGTTTCATTTCAGGCTGTCGTAGCTTATCCAGAGTGTGTACCAGCACTGGTTGAAAAAATGAAACTGCAGCTTGCTTTACAGGACTGGGACCAAACCTGTGAGACTGGGCAAAGGTATGGACAAAGTGAACATTAATCTGACATTTCTAATCTTTTAGTAAGAATACTAAGATACATGTACAATGTTAGGTTCATGCTACTGGTATTAGTAATTAATATGCAACCCAAATCTGTGCTGGTAGGGTATCAGTAGGTCTCTGATAGGTTATCAGAAGGATACTCTTGAAAGATGGTGCAATGTAATGTAATTAATGCTGGTACATGCAGTTGGTGATAACTTCAACTTGCCTAAAGAGACAAACTATATTATTGAACACAAAAACAGACAAAACCATATTGAATCTGGACATATTGAGCCTACCAATGTGCAGTCRTATTTATGTCGTATTGAACCCAKTAAATGATGGCTTATMATAAGTCTTTCCTGTAGCTGACATTGGTTAGAGCATCCAATCAGTGTCCAGAAATTTTGGGTCCTTCTTGGTGTAGCAAGCTTTATTGTATTCTGGGGTATGGTTTTTGTTTTRCAGGGTATTGTTTAGCTCCAAATTCATTATCCTTGGCTTAATTGTATTATAATTGTTTTCATGCTTCAGTTGCCTTGCAACACCAAGAAAGAGTTGAAGTTTTAACATCGGTTAAATGATTTTCAAGATTCCTATCAGGGACTCTTATTTTTTTAAATTCCTTTTAGCTATGGAAAAATGATA